TCAATCTATGCTCAATGCGTCTGATAAAATCCCCCGAAGGGAGCGAGATTGGCCGTGTCTAATGCGAGTCGAGAAGAGGCATTTTTCTCGGCCGTCCTGCAAACCCACTCTCTTCACATCGAGTCCCGCTGGGGGTTCAGCAAGGAAGCAAGCTCGGGGAGTGGTCGGGGCTGGCACCCCCTCCACTCCTCCTCTGGCCAGAGGTCCCATAATGGGTAGCGGCGGTGCAGCTCTCACCGCTGGCGGCCCTGGCCGCCCCCTCGGGGCTCCTCCCCCAGGCCCGGCCCCTCCAGCACCCCGCACCCCGCCTCGCAGAATCCCCCTGCCCCCTCCTCAGGTTACCATGCTGGCGGGCCGGCCGGCCGCGGACGAGGGGCTCTCCGCGCCCCCTCTGCACCGTCCCCCGAGGAGGTGTGCTGGGTGTCTGGGTGTCTACTTCTGCCTGTCTACTGCAGGGGGGCTTAGCAGAGTTCTCGGTCGGAGAAGCGCACCAGGCAGCGGCAGTAACTGCGGGCCCGGCGTACGGCAGCCATCTTCGCGGGATAGAGGGCCAGATCGGGGCGCGCTGGAGCGGCGGCCGGGGACACGGGGAGTGGAGAGACACCCGTTGCCAGCGGAGGCCGAGGACTGTGCGAGAACCAGAGCGTCGGCCCGACCGAAGACCCCACGCGCCGCGGCAGAGCTAACCCCTCTGCTGCAGAAACCTGCGCCGCCGCACCGAGCATGCGCAGTGCGCCGCCGCCGCCTGCGTGCGCCTCACCGCTCGTTGGCCCGACGCGTGCCGCCTACTGGAAGATGAGGGGGCGTGGGCCTACTGTGTGCGCGAGGCCCAAGCGGGCGTTAGGTCGTCGGTTTGCCGAACCCCCCGACTCAGCCCACTTACTCGGCTCAGTGAACACTTATGCAAACTTGCAAAACCATTATCTCAAAAATGTAACTCAAATTAAGGGTTGAGACCCGATGGCAAGTAGCCCTAATGGGCATCAACTAGGTGTTCGAGGCTGTCCCGCGGCGACTCTGGCCGGAGGGCCACTCCAGAAATGCAGGGACACTATGCAACTCCACTACATCATAGGTTGTCGTAACGACTAAACTTTTTAAAGCACGGGTCTAGCGATTGAGTAAAAAATGAGTTTAGGGGAGCGGCAAGGGGACTGGAAACTCAGCCACCGCAAGGAAGGTCTCACTACAGATCCCATCATGCCCCGGGGGGAGGACGCGCTCCCCACCAAGGCCTGGAAACCTGGTTCTGCCCACACGGCGCCCGCAAGACTTTCTGGGATTTGTAGTCCGCTGTTCCGGCACAGAGCCTCGAACTTGCACACGGTACTCGCCCCACCTGTTAAAGACCAAACACCTCATTTCACTTCTGCAGGCACTCTTATTTTTTCAGGCAATATATTATTTACACATTGTTTTAAATACGGAACTTTGCATGCTTTATGAAAACCTACAGTCATGTAGCCTCTTACCTTCTTCATTCAGCAAACATTAAGAAGTTTCTAGTTTCTGTTATGTACCAGGTATTAATAGTCATTGGGATTCCAAGACCCTACTGTCAACGAGTTCACCGAGTTTAAATCTCTTATCCATTATCTTATTCTGGAGATCTTAGAATCTTGGGCAGAAACATGAAGGCAAAAAAGGAGAGGGGGTAGAATAGTAAGCTACAATATGGAAGCGCAACTGCTGTCTTAACATTGGGATCCTCCCTTCCAATGGGTGTTTTTAGTTGCACCCTAAATCAGCCACCTATAAAAAATGCCCTCATGTTTAATGGAGGACCAAAGTTCAACAGTTTTTAAAAGAGACTCTAAGGCTTAGATCTTTTAAGGATGATTTTCCTCCCAATGATCTCTTTAAAAGGATTTTGAAATTTAAATCTGGAGGAAAGATTAGATGTAAGAATTTATAATAGGAGAAAATGATATGCGACTCATGAATACAAAAGATCAGTTTTGCAAATGAAGAATGAGGTATTGAAATATTTTCAGAACTCTTTCATCAAACGTGTTGAGATTTTGGTCAATTAGAAGAGATGATTTCTATTTTTCGAGCAAATAAGCAAAGTTTAATGAAGTAAAAATTAGTATTTGTGATGATAAATTGAGCACACATATTTTATTAAAACACTGTTAGGATTCATTGCTACTAATTTTCTATATAAGATCAGTATCCACTAGACCTCTTTACAGGGTTGTATTGTCACCAGACATGAAACCGCAGAGGGCGTCTGCTTCAGGCCAGTCTGTAGTGTTTGAATTCTCAACTTTGTGCAGGAAAAATTTCACAACATGAGTCCAGGTGATTTTCAGAGTATGTTTATTAAAGCTTGGGAAGAGTGAAACAAAGAAAGGACTTAAAGGTAAAAGAAGCAACAGGAGAGAGTCAAGGTGGGGCCGCTGTGGATCCCTAGAACCATTATAGGAAAGAAGTGAGCAAAGGTGGGTCTTCTGTTAGCTCACTGGGAAGTAAAAGTCACAGTATAGAAGTGAGCAGAGGCAGGGATACTTTTAGCCCACTGGACAGTCAGAAAAAAAGGGGGCTTTGGAAACAGGTTTGGTAAGCCTGGGCCAACCTGCCACTGCCCACTGCTTCTTGGTTGCAAGTCTCACAGGGAGACTTAGAGTTTAGGAGAAAAAAAGTAAAAAGTTCATTCTGTGCTCTAGAGTGAGCCTGCACTGGGTCTTTGTCTTAAGGGATTTTATCTTTTTTTCTAAGGTTGAGAATCTTAGGGGAGGGTAGAATATTTATCAGCGTTCTAGTTGCATTTTTTTTCTTTATTGATTTAGAGAGAGGAAGTGAGAGAGTGCGAGAGAGAAACATCAATGAGAGAGAACATCAATTGGTCGCCTCCTGCATGCTCCCCACTGGGGATTTGGCCCATGAACCTGGGCTTGTGCCCTGACTGGGAATCAAACCAGTGATCTCTTGGTGCATGGGTTGATGCTCAACCATTGAGCCACACCAGCTGGGCTCCAGTTGCATTTTTAATATGCTTATGAATTCAAATGAGGGTGTAGGGGAGTTTGGGATTATTCTTTTTTTTTTTCTTTTTCAATTTTTACTTTTCTTATTTTTTAGTGTCATTTTTTTTTTTTTCCAAATCTTTATTGTTGGATGTAAAATGTATTACAGATGTTCCACATTTTTCCCCCATTGACCCCCTCCTCCCGGGATTATTCTTTGGTTGGCTTTACTGTTTTACTTTTTTCTTGGGTCTGGCTCTAATTGGTTTTGTTGTTGTTGTTATTTGTTCCCCTGACTTCATCTGCCCTTGGGTTTGGCTGGCACAAATGGCATTAATTGGGTCTCTGTCCTCTATCTACCCACCAGTGTGATTTAAGCTATGTATTATTCTCTGGTTAGGGAAGAGAGGTATAAACCATTTGCTCTCAAGTGTCCTTAGTTGGGGAAAATAAAGTTTTTCAATCCACTAGCTGGCTGTAAATTGTTCAGATTGTTTGGCCTTGTTTAATTATCTTGTCTGTTTCCCCATTCCACTTGCCCAGGAATTTTCCTAGCTTCTTATCATCTTGCCTCAGTATTAGCTCATGTTACAGTTACAGGGTTGTAATTTTCCCTGAGGCTAGAAAAACTGACTAACCCATTTACTAGCCCTAGGTAGACTTGTTTGGACAACTGAATTTGACTAAAATTGACCATTTTAGATACTTTAAATATTAGTTTTCATGTGAGTAGCATAAAATTTATTTCCCTGTCATTTCATTGATAATGGTTTTCAGTTCCCATTCGCCATATGGTTTGTGTGTTATATAGGTAAACACAAAGGTAGATAAGTGTTATATATTTGCCAGGTGGCCTGATGACCCTTTCCCATTTAGGACAGGAAGTCTAAGAAAACTTAACTGTCTTATTCTTGTAGGTTTCTTCAACAGGAGCAAGAGGAGAGAGGGAGTCAGAACCCTTGTACAAATTCTTTAGGAAAAAACAATCTGTCTTCAGTTCTTAGAATTCAAAAATAAAAATAGTGAAGAAAACTGATATGGTGATGAGCTCAGGAATTTAAACTCAGAGAAAGATCCACAGTGTGTAAAAGGTTATTGATTTATGAATTACAATTGTGTTGCTTAGGGAAATGTGGTCCCCTAACCAGCACCAGAATTCTGGCGACAGGATCCAGAAATCTTGTTTTAAAAAACCCTCCAGTTGATTCTGATGTCTCCAAGTAAAGTTTGAGAACCGTTGGCTTGGGGCAATTATATAAATTTAAATTGAGGATCTTGAAGCAATTTTTTTTTTCAAAGCACTTCAGAGCCAATATTTATATGGATGATTTAAGATACTCTCTACAATACAAGTTAACGTGTTTAAAAAGCGTTAAATGTTAGATTTCATGTAGTAACTAGTTACAGAGGACAGTTGTGTAGAGCATACCTAGTCTGTTTCCCACCTGGATAACAATCCAGTCTTTCAAACTACAGTTGCTAATATAAAGACTTTTACAGTTCAAATGAACGCTAACAGGCAAACAGTTGCGTCCTTATGTGAAACATTTTTATTGTGATAAAATATATTTAACATTTGCCATCTTAACCATTTTCAGTGTATAATTCAGTGGCACTGATTTCCTTCACAATGTCTTGCAACCTCAGTTATGTTTATTTTCAAACCAGGAAAGAATGTTTTCACCATGATTACCTGTAATGAAATGTTCTCAGAGCATGCATGCACGGCCACCATTTCTACATCTTGATACGTGATGCAGCCCAGCTGCAGTAAGGCGTGCGTTTGGAGCTGTGGCCGCACTCACGGTCAGCCGGCCCAGGGGTCCCTGGGCTCTGTCCGGCCCCAGCCGAGACTGGAGGCGAGCGCAGCGGCTCTGCGCCCCGGGCGCGCTGCACGCGGTGCAGGGACGCGCAGGGCCAGCGAGGGGAGCTGCAGGGTAACTTTTCCCAGGGAAAGCGGCCCGTCGTCCCCACTAGAAGCCTCCCTGCCTTTTGTTTGTTTTCCTGCTGGAGGCTGGAGAGCGGCCGGGTTCCTGCTGCTCTACCATGCGCCACGCGGCCCGTGCGACTCGCCGGACCTCCCGGGCGTCCCTGCACCGATGCCTTGGCCTCTCCTAGCAGCATCGCCCCCTTTCTCAGTTCCCGAGCGGGCTGCTGCGCCCCACTCGCCGAGGAGCTGCGCTCACCGCAGGGGCGGGCCCCCGCCTGTGTTCGCCGCGCCAGTAAGTGGGGTCAGGGATTAGGGGCTTCTGCCGGGCGACCTGTCACCCGGGGTGATGGACCGGAGCTGCGGAAGGACCCCTGTCCGGTGGCCCCTTGAATGATCGGAGCGGGAGGGAGAGGTTAACCGGTTGTAGTTGCTCTGCGCGGTCATGTGGGTCTCTCCCTCTTGGCATGAAAACTCCCGTTTCCTTGGAGTCTGAAAGATTTTGATGGGTGTTTACCTTGCAGCGTTAAAGAGGGGAAAGAATCGTGTCTGATTTGAAGCCCTTTAGTGGGATGCGGAGGACTTGCTCTAGGAATTTTCCTGACTAGGCCTTTGGCTGTCCCGCAAGGGGTCTGAACAAGAATCCTCACACATTTATGTGCAACCATTTTTCACTGGGTTTCTTTCTGCTCTGATTTCTTTCCTACTAACGTGAGTACATGTTAGGAGAAGGATGTTGAAGGATTTTCCAGAACAAGAGTTTCTTTTGCAATGCACCTTTTAAAGTTTGACTTTGACACTAACATTGAGGGTTTATACTTTTAAATAAAAAGTAGTGTGATGCATTCTTGTGCAGAAAAGAGGATTCATTTTCACTTACAACTAAATGAAGATCTGCTTTTGCTAAAGCTTGACTGTGCTGAGAGGATACCACCTTGAATTTTGCATGCGGGGCTAGATTTCTCTAAGGTTTTGGCACTTGTGTTTTTTATTTTGTGCTGGACCACTCTATAGCAATAGAAGTTTAATAGCTACAGTTTTCATTTCTCACATTTTCAATTGAGTGGGCTTCCTGGATGTGCCCCAGTAGTGAATTGTACTATTGCTGGATATAAAATTAAAATGAGCTTTAAATTTATGTCATCAACATATAAATAATTAAGAAGGATTTGTGTCTCAACCACATCCTGTGCTAGGAGTTAATGTATGCATAAATATGCACATTTGAAATAGTTTCTGAACAAAGCGCTACAATTTGGTACAGAATCTTCAAGGCCTTCCTATCTATCTGAGGACCAGTAATTGTAAAAACACTAAGAAGTGGGTGCAGAAATGAGAGCTGTTGCTGGGATTCTTTATGTAAAACGATATCCTCCACCAGGGCCCTCTCCCTAAGGTCCAGCCCTCTACCGTGACCCTGCCCACTTTTTATTTACCCTCGCTCCACATTGCTTTGTCCCCCATCTCCAGAGTCAAAACTGGTGCTTGGGCAGGAGTGGGCAATCATATTTCTAAATGAGAGCAGTTTAGTTTTAGATGATGGAGGGATGTGTTGGAAGGCTGATGGAGCCTGTCTGAGTAGGCAGAGGTCTGTGGGAACTCAGCATTTAGTCACAAAGAAATGTTTTTTTCTCAGTGACGTTTCCTACCTACAGACTATATATACATGAGCTACCAGGAGAAAGAACAGGCCTTTTGGGAGGAGTTATTTGTTAACTGTTCACCATCATCCAAGCCCATTTGTTTTATTCTCTTTGCTTTTTGAGGTTTCCAGTAAAGGTGGAAAGCATGTTCATAATGAACCTTTGGAATGATCTGTAATGATCTTTTCCTTCCTCCTTTATATCAATGAGTCATCAAGACCTTTGAAACTTGATGCATATAGATCCCTTCTTCCATGTTTTAATCCAGAACCTCACCCTTCCTCTCCTGTAGACTGGAGCAGCCTTTTAGCTAACCTCCCTAGCCTGGCTCTTCGTAAGGCCTCAGTAAGTATTTGCTGAATGAATGAATGAATGAATGAATGAATGAGATGCTCCCCTTTCTGGAATCTTCAGCATTCCTTGTTTGTCTAAACTCACACTTTTATTTAAACTATCACTTCCTTATGCTGCTCCTTGCCTTGTCACATGCAGTTCCTCTCCCTTCTCTAAAATAATTTGTCTGATTTTTCAAGGACTTTCATAATCAGGCCTCATCCCTCATATCTAAATCTTATGTTCAGTTTAGCATACACCTGTGTGTTCTATGGGTTTGGTCTTCTTGCTATCCTGCTAAAGGGGCCAGGCTCGCCCTAGAAACTCCCTCCCTTCTCTCCACTCTCCTGTGAAAATATTAAATCTTACCCATCTTCTGTGGAGCAGCCTAAGTTCCTCTTTCTTTAAAGTCTTAAGATACTTGTTTTTTTTTTTTTTTTTTAGCCCTTCCTTATACTGGCTGTACTAAACTCTAATTGGTTTAAGCTATTTTAAGCCTCTTTAGGGCAGGAGCCATATTTTATGCATGGTAATGTGGCATTGTGGGCTTTGGAGTTAGGCAAAATTGAGGTCAGGGCCTGGCTCATTTTTTACTCATGTGACCTTGTGGGATTCTCCAGCATTAGTCCTCGCATATGTAAACTAGGGTAAATGCTTTCCCTGGCTAATTGTAAAGATGGTCTAGTGCCTAAATAGTGCCTGGCAGAGACCTGAACATGTTGCAAATATTTGGTTGATGTTTGTTGATTGACTTGTAGATCACAAGTTATGGCTCAGCCTGGCGGCCCAGAGCGTGAGCAATCATGTCGTGAAGCTTAGTGAGTATTATCCTGCCCTTACTTAAAATGGCTTGAGCTTAGGTTATTCCTGGCTCTGCTTCTGGGATCTATTGCTGTTTTTCCATCTGAACCTTGCCAGGAACACTACTGTCTTTTAATTTTTTTTTTTTAACTGCTTCTCTTGAGGCAAGCTCCTCCATTTCATTTTGCAGGAACTTGCTGAGTTGGAGTTTTACCTCACTTGCCTTTCTATTTTTCTGTTTGTGGGGTATGTATGAGGGTATGTGTTTATGGCAGGACCACTTGCATAGAGCTTTCTTGGCAGATTTCTGGGTATAGTGACCTTTCTGTATATGTTGATCTGTCAGCCTGTGAGTAGTGTCTCACTTAGTTGCAAATTCTGTCATCAGCAGTCTGACAAACACGGTGTTCTGAGAAGGGCCTCTGACTAGAGTGTCAGAAATCTGCCATCTGTGGACCTCAGTGTTGTGGCTGGTGTGCTCGGCTGGCAGAAAGTGCAGACAGAGCTGTGTGCGGGACAAGTGACACATATTGTTTGGGGTGATAGTGTAACCTTGTCCTAAGGTGTGCTGTGCTTACCTTTGAAACACAGTTTTAACTTTGTTATCAATCACACATGTTCTAGAAAATCACTCCGTAAAAATAATTTAGTGAAGCAAATTATTTTCTGGGGAAAATTACATGAAAATGCTAAGAAAGTGTTGCTGCAGGAAGGAATCAGATGCCTTTACTTGCAGCCAAAGAGGAAGTTAAAGAAGCAGCATGGGTTCCCCCCAAGATGGTGAGGAAGGTTGATATAGGCATTCACACTCAATTTCTGCGCCTAGCGAGGTGCTGTCCGATGGCAGGAAAATATTACCACTCAACAGATCCTAGAAAGGTACTCAATCCAGGTGGAAAGCTTCCATTCCTGATTTCTTTCCAAGGAAACCGAAGCATCCTTGCTCATTGAGTAAATGCCTGATGCACTGTGCTTTGAAAGTCGAAACCTTCGAAGAAAGAGTGTTTGTGATCAGACTTGCTGGTGCAGCTGGAATCAAATTCTGTGTGCGCTGACTTGTGAAGTTGTCTCAGTTTGAAGAAAGCACTCTTCCGAGATCTGCCACTTCTTAATATGTGGTTCAGAATTTGCAATACATTCATATACTTAAAATTTTTTTTTCTTTATTGATTTTAGAGAGAGAGGAAGGGAGAAGGAGAGAGAGATAGAAATATTGATGAGAAGGACATCGACTGGCCACCTCCTGCATGCCACCCACTGGGGATTTGGCCCACAAGTTGGGCATGTGCCCTGACCGGAAATCGAACTGGCAACCTCTTGGTGCATGGGTCAACGCTCAACTGCTGAGCCACACCGGCCAGGCTACATTAATATACTTTTTACAAAAGGGCAAGTGTGAGCATTTGATACATCTTTAATAGAATATTAAAATATTTCTTGCCCTGATCAGGTAGCCCAGTTGGTTGGAACATTGTCCCATATACCAAAAAGTTGCAGGTTCAATCCCCGGTCAGGGTGTTTATGGAAGGCAACCTATCGATGTTTTTCCCTCTCTCTCTCTCTTCCTTCCTCTTGCTCTAAAGATCAATAAAAACATATCCTCAGTGAAGATTAAGGAAAAATAAATAAATAAAATGTTTCTTATTCACACATGAACACATAGGCTACTCGGAAAATAACAAGGATTCTATTTCTATTAGCTGGATCTCTGGAGGTCATCTGTAAAGTGAGGGTGTTGGGGGATGATTAAGGTCCCTTACAGGAAATAAAATCTCATGTTATAGTCTGAAGTTCCCTCCACGTTCTGCTGTGCCGTTGAACTGAGGTCCTAGTGAGCTCAGCTTTCAATCTATACTAGCATTGTTATATATTATCTTACTTTAACGTTTTCCTAGATTTTAACTTGGTCATTCTAACTCAGGTTTTTTAAATGGAAGGGCCACAGGAGTGGCTCACATTTCATGTGGTGTCTTTCCACCACATGGTGGGCTCGTGGTAGCTACTTGATAAATGAAGAGTGATGGCCGAGAACTTGAGAGCCACGTATTTTGGTGGAAAGATCAATATGGGTAATTTTTTACCTTTCTGTGGATGTTGTATGACCTGTGATAAAGTGCTGATAACATGTGACGGCCCTCATGGTTACGATAAAAGATAATGTCCCAGAAACCCCCCCAAAAAAACAAAAACAGTGTTGTGGGGTGTAATGTGTTCAACTACATACTTGACCCTATCATGAAAGTTACTATCTGTATGACTTGCAGTTCTCCAACGACAATAAGTAATGCTTTTGTGATCTTGGATACTGCCTTTGTTCACTTTGAAAGTGGATTTATCGAAGGTAGATTTAACTTAGACTAAACTAAGTGAGAAAAAAGTAAGGTATATGTGCTTACATGTTATCTTAGCTGTTAAAAAGCATGTTTTCCTAAATTAGTGGGAAAGTTTTTAGAAGGATTCATAATTTTTGTGCCCTAATCCCTATACAGGTGTCCAATTTTGCAAATAAGGGCGTGAG